TTAGCTTAAACAAGGTGACTGAATTTGCTGAGTTTCTAGGCTTATAATTTACTATCCACGGGGGAGATTCCTAACGTGGGCTTTGAGTTTGGAGAATTCTTGGAGGTGGAATCCCGACACCAGTGTCCGCTAGCTGTGTGATCCCGGGTCATTTGCAGAATCCCCAGACACTCCTCTCACCTCTGGAGATGATTGTAATGATTCACTAGTATGTGCACAGCTGTAAAATGGGCAAAATTCACCCCACAGCGAGAACGTGGGCAGCTGCAGTTCTTGGAAGAAAGCGCAACACGTTCCCAGCGTCCTCCCTCCCGGGTAGGAGGTGGGAAGGTCACAGCTGGTTTTCAGGGCGACCAGCCCCGGAGGCCTGGGCCACGAGCACGGACTCACCTCTGAGTCCGAGTCGGACGAGCTGGAGCTGGAGGAGCTGGACGAGTCGCTGGAGCTGTCGGAGGCGATCCCCGTGGACTCCTGCAGGTCGACGGAGTCAGCCAGCACCGCCAACTCAGGGTGCTCCTGCCTCAAGATCCTGAGAGACAAGACCCAGGTCCTCAGTGCTGGGACAGGCAGCGACGCCCACACGCAGTACCCCAGACTCAGAGCTGAGCCCTGTCTCTCCTAGACGCGCCTGTACGATGCTGAGGACACGCGGATCCACAGCCTGGGGACGAAACCCCCCATGCTGCTCAGGCTTTCCTGAAAGGAAAACTAGCCACACACAACTCGCTACCCGCTGTGCAGACGAGACAGACGTGCTGCTGAGACGTGAGGCAAGTCTTCCTCGAGTTAGTCTTAGTTTTCCCCTCGGGAGAAACAATCTCTCTCGCTCGTCGTTTTTCCTGAACCTTTCCTAGCTGTTGTTTGTTAACCTCTCCTTTCCACAGCACAGTACTTAACGATGGGAGCTGGGCTTGGTTACATTGGTTTGTAAGAGACAAGAAGTATCAAGCAACAGAGAGGGTCCCCCCTCGCTGGAAGCTGAAGCTGAACGGGACTGTCAGGGCAGCAGGCAGCCCTCCCCTTGGAACCTATTCTGGCGGCCACTGCAGCCAGGGACAAAAGACCTGCTGTTCAGGACGGCCTTCAGCGTGACCAAACGGCAGCACGCGGCGGCCTGCGGGACAGAGTCAGTGGGCCTCAGATGCCCGAGAGTCTGGGGAGAACAAAGCCACCACCCTTGCTGGCCCTCTCAGCAGGGAGGTTGAGCACTGAACAAGCCAGAATCCCTCTCTTACCCCGAGAGCTGGTCCCTCCAGGTCAGGGTTGGGACACAGTGGCACGGGGTGGCTGGGGGTGGCTTGCACTGCCGCTGCCCGTGCTGTATCTGTTCTGTGGATAAACAGAGGAGCTAAGTCTCCAGGGCAGTCACCTCGCTCACAAGAACTGAAGGTCATAAGTTTAAATGGGAATAATGCTTTGCGGTAAGAAAAAGAAATAACCAAAATAAAACCCAAACAAAACGGCTTCCTTTGCTGGTGCTAGCTTGGGGAAACCAAACCAAACCAAACCAAAAACAAAACAGAAAACGAGGAACAATCCCAATTGTGACCATGTTTTGACCGAGTGGCTTCAATCAAACATGCAGTCTTACCCTGTCACCTCAAGGCTGGCAAATACCCTGAGAACTAGCCCTGACCTTGGACCCACTCTCCTCTCCCCGTGAGGTTTTGCGGCCCCGGCTTCTCCCAGGCCCGTCTAAAATCAGCACATGTTAAGACACCAGTGGACTCTTTCCATTTTATCTCTGGGGTAGAAGTTGGAACAAAGCAAAAATAAGAAAAAAAAAAGTCTCTCACCTATACCATTTCCTCGATAACTTTGGCCTCCCTCTTACCGTCTTGTGCCAGACAACAGGGAAGTTGGTGCTGCTGGCAAAATTCTGGGTAATGGCAATGGTGGTGTCAAGGTTGAGGACGACGTGCCACCAGCCTCCTGAAATCCAACAAGTAAACAGTTAAACAGGATTGGTTCTACACGCGATCGCACCATGACGTAAACTTCACATAACAAACAACACAGACTTCAGAACCTGGGGATTCCTGTCCACAAGGGACAGCTTGAGAGACACAGGACCCAGAGCGGTAAATGCTCCTCCTGAGGGCAGCGCTCACCAATGACCTGTTTGGGTAAAGTTTTACTGGAGCGTGGCTGCACCTGTTCGTTTATGGATTGTACGTGGCTGCTTTCCTGCCACTTGGGCGGAGCTGAGCAGTTACAACAGAGACTACGCAGCCTGCAGTGCCTAAAATATCTGTTCTCTGGCCCTTTTACAGAGTAAACGTGTCAAGCCCTGTTAATCCAAAGCTGTGACCAGAACTGTAAAGGGAGCAAGTTCTTCAGTTTCTAGATGGAGATGCCCATCTTGAACACCCTTACTTCCCACACTCAACCTATCAAAACAAAGTGTAGTTTTCAGGTGTAGGATTTCCTGCCTCTTGGCTCCTAAGTCACTCTTTCCTGACTCAATCCACCCAGCGCTACACTGATCAAAATCTCCATTTATAGAAATTAAGCACAAGTCACTAAACGTATTCAATAAACAAAGACACTAAGTATCTACTAGGAATAAAAATGAATAGGCTCTCTACATACAGGAAGTTTATCAACAGTCATTATACATTCAGGTTACAAGAAACGTGGACAGCAGCCCCCCTGAGCATGTGACCACACAGCAACACATCACGGTCAGAGGCGGGAACCAGTCAGTTCACCCAGAGCCAGCGTGCAGAGGGATTTCTTTGACTCTCCCTATATAGTTGTGTTCCAAAATTACAAATTACTGAATTCAAAGAATATACTTTCAGTTCCTCTGTACCTGGTACAAAGACAGTCTCTCCTGGTTTTTGTAAGATTTCCAGGGGTTTGAATTCGGGTGGCCAGGTTGGAAGCTGTGTCCGGGGATAGATGATATTAAACCAAGTAATAGCTTCATCTTGCTGGTTCCCTCCTTCTTCTCGGGTCACCTTGATGAGTTCCCTGGGGGTGCTGGTAGGGAACAGGCACCAGCGCTTGTGGCCCTGGACTAAGGCATTCCAGGCACTGGTTCCCAGGGGGTCGATGTGAATTCCGGTTCCAGAGCGTGGTGGCCCCATCACAAACCACCTAAAGGATGGAAACATCCAAGATATGAAGTGCAATTTGACCACACGTACACACCACAAAAGAAGCTTTAATTTTACACCAACATGTTATCATTATTTCAAAGACTACACACATTCTGGTATGCAGAAACGCTGAGGAAATTGTGCATGGACTGACCCCTAACAGAAAAAGGAAAAATCACCAACATGTCTTACTGCTGGACTTGAACTATTAAAACATCCCTTAGAGATCACTGGTTCAACTTTGGTTGCACGTTTGAATCACCTGGGGAGCTTTCAGAAATCCTGATGCCCAGGCAGGAGGCCCTGGGCAGACACCAGAAGCCCTCTAAGTAAGTCCCAAGTGCAGCCAAAGAGAACCACTCACTGTTTTGGAAACAGATTAGCTGACTGAGCTCAGCTGCTCCTGCTGCTGTAGACAAGATTATAACCACACCACTGCCCAGTATTTACCTGTAAGGGGGCCTGCGCTTCTCCCCCGCATACTGGAAAAGGTCATCGGTGAAGAACTTGGGCACCTTGTAGTCTTCCAAAAGTTTCCTTCTTTTGGGGTGTTCCCCATAGCTGCTGTCAAAGATGTAAAGGGGGCTGTCATCTCGGGTGCTCTCCATGTACTCGATGTAGTATTTCATCTTCATCTTCACGGAATAGCCGTCGTTATCCTCACCACACTTGAATTTCTGGTTCCGGTATTTCCTTTTGAGGCGCTCCAGAGTCCATTTCTCCTGCGCGGACCAGCCCTCTTGGGCATTCAGCAGAACCACGGGCTTGTACGGTCTTTCGTAACGTTCCACAAATTCACCCACCGACAACTGTAAGGCGTCTGCCCTTTCCACATTGTCCTGAGGGAATCAGAAAAGACCTATCGCATTAAAGAAAAAAAAAAAAAAAGTCCGGCGGCAGTTAAGGGTGTCCCCCAAGGCCAGTTAGCAATCACATACCCAAGGAGCCAGATTCTATTTCCGGCTCCTCTTAGGGAGGGAAAAGGACCTGCGTGTGTTCGGGCACTGCGCACCGAGCGCCACCGCATCAGGGAAGGGGGGCTTCGCGTCTTCCACTCGTGGCTTTTGACAGCCGGGGTCCCTAGGGCCCCGCCGCCTAAAGGGATGCAGGGGTGACAGGCCTCGTGAAGGGCGTCAGGGGCGTGGGACTCCAGCTGCCTCGGCACGCGCGTTTGCGGCGCATAGAAGGAGGCCCACCCTGGGATCCGGGCCCCGATGACCTCGACCTCCGCGGGGTGCGGGCGAGCCCATCGTAACTCCAGGGGCCATGCTGGTCGCGGACCCCGGCCCCGGTAGAGGTGCGCAGCTCCCGGGGATGCCCGTGCCCCGCCCGGCCCGCGATCGCGGCCCGCTCACCGCCACGGCCGCCGGGTTCAGCGAGAAGCTCTCGTAGTAGTTGTGCCGGATCCAGTCCAGCGAGTCCTTCAGCTCCGGCCGCGCACTCCGCTTGGCCTCGCGGATCCGCTTCTTGCTCTTGTGGTTCATCCTGCAGGGTCACCAGCTGGTTCCGCGACGACCCTGGCGCAGCTCGCTTCCTGCCACCAGTACGTCCCCTCCCCGACCCGGGCGGCGGCGGCGGCACCAAAACGTCCTTCGCTCCAGCCCGGCGCCTTTAAAGTCGCCTTCCAGAAAATTCACTCCCTAACCACCTCCCGAGCCTCGGGTTGGGCCTGCGTCGGCCGTCTTCCCCGCCCGCTACGGCCTCTTGCGATAAGCCATTGGCCTCCGAGCCTCTGGGGTCCGCCCTCACACACGCCGGGTCTCCGCCATTTTGGGAAGGTCAAGACGCTCGAGGCACCACCTTGCTGCGGCCCCGCCTCTCCCGCACCACCTTGCGGTTCGCGTCACTTCCGGCAGCCAGCAGTTCTTTCGTGGCTGGCTTCCGCCAACCTCAGAGTTAGGGCCTCCTGTCTTCGGTGTCTCGTTGGCCGGGTTTCGGGTCTGTTCTCGCCACGTGGCCATTTCGTCGCCCGAGGGGTGCTTACCCCCTTTTGCCGTCGGGTAGTAGCGACCCGACGTGGCGCTGGGGAGACGGCCCGAGCCGGTCTGAGAGCACCCGCGCGTGCAGCTTGGCAGCCTGGCGACCCGGCGCTCTCCCCTGCTCCCGGCCTGCCGGGGGGCCACCGACTCCCCTCCGACCGAGCGTGGTCTCCGAGGGCATGTGGTCCGGGCCAAGCGTTTTCGGTTCTCGGAGGAGCCGGGCCTGGGAGCTGAGGGGGCCGTGCTGGAGGTCCGCGTCCCGCAGGTGCGTGCGGAGGCACCCGCCGGGAAGCGCATTGGGGCTGGAGCGGTTCTCGGCCGACCAGGGGCTATAGGGAGGGGGGTCCGCGGCTTCCCGCCTTAGGCTGGACCACAGAGAGAAACGGTTTGGTACGAAGCCGTTTGGCAGATTAAATGTCCTTCAGTAAGAAATTTGAAGACCCTGCTAGGAAGGAGACCTTTCCATACCTAATATTTCTTGCCAGAAAAGTGGCATTCTTGACACCTAATATTTTTTTGATCTTGTTGAAGGGCTTCTTAATTCAGTTTCTGGGGGCGGGGGGAAGGGATTTCCAACCCTCACTAACCAAATAAAGTTTCTCAGGCTGGCATTGCTTCCTTTCAGCTCATGGCTGACCCCGAACTCTCTCAAGAGCAATTATATTTTATATACCTCCAGTTTTTCAAAGCACTTTCACATTGCAGTGTTTCATTTTTTAAAACATCTTTGTTGGAGTTTACTTGCTTTACAATGTTGTGTTAGCTTCTGCTGTATAACAAAGTGAATCAGCTATGTGCATACGTATATCCCCATATCCCCTCCCTCTTGCGTCTCCCTCCCACCCTCCTTTTCCCACTCCTCTAGGTGGTCGCAAAGCACAGAGCTGACCTTCGTGTGCTATGCGGCTGCTTACCACTAGCTATTTTACATTTGGTAGTGTATATATGACAATGCTATTCTCTCACTTCGTCCCAGCTTACGCTTACCCCTCCCCGTGTCCTCAAGTCCATTCTCTACATCTGTGGCTTTATTCCTGTCCTGTCCCTAGGTTCATCAGAACGTTTTTCTTTTTCTTTTTAGATTCCATATATATGTGTTAGCATAAGGTATTTGTTTTTCTCTTTCTGACTTATTTCACTCTGTATGACAGGCTCTAGGTCTATCCACCTCACTACAAATAACTCAATTTCATTTCTTTTTATGGCTGAGTAATATTCCATTGTATATATGTGCCACATCTTCTTTATCCATTTATCTGTTGATGGACACTTAGGTTGATTCCATGTCGTGGCTATTGTAAATAGTGCTGCAATGAACATTGTGGTACGTGACTCTTTTTGAATTATGGTTTTCTCAGGGTATGTATATGCCCAGTAGTGGGATTGCAGGGTCATATGGTAGTGTTCTGTTTTTAGTTTTTTAAGGAACCTCCTTTTTAAGGAACCTCCTTATACTGTTCTCCATAGTGGCTGTATCAATTTACATTCCCACCAACAGTGCAAGAGGGTTCCTTTTTGTTCATACCCTCTCCAGCATTTATTGTTTGTAGATTTTTTGATTATGGCCATTCTGACCAGTGTGAGGTGATACCTCATTGTAGTTTTGATTTGCATTTCTCTAATGATTAATGATGTTGAGCATCTTTTCATGTGTAACAGCAGCTGGTGGTGTAGGTATTGGCAGTAGCAGTTTAAATATGAGAAACAGCTTAAAAGGAGTTGAAGGCTGGAGTGGAACCCATTTCTGGCAGTTTCTAAATGCCTGCACGTTGAAATACCCCTTTGGATTTTTTTTTGCTGCGCCACGCGGTGTATGGGATCTTAGTTCCCCGACCAAGGATCCAACCCGTGCCCCTTGCAGTGGAAGTGTGGAGTCTTAACCACTGGACTGCCAGGAAAGCCTTCCCGACCTCCTTTGGATTTCTTCCCAAATTTAGGGAGTGGGTGAAGATAGGCCTTGTGAAAACAGATACACTTTTTTTTTTTTAACACCTAAATCTGCATAACTCACTCCTCAGGTCAGAAATCCTTCATTGTACTCCTGGTAAAATCCAGCAGGGCAGGCATTTTAATCATGCCTAGCATATTTTAGGCACCAATATTTTTGTTGAGTGTATTGAATGATTAGGTTCAGACCTTCGGTTCCTTCACCTTTGATATTTTTACCTCTTCAGCCTCCTTTCCTACCTCCCCAGGAGGGGCACCCTTTGCTCTAGCAAACAAAGTCTTGCTATTTTGCAGTTTAGCAATCGCTAACTTTGTATACTTCCTTTGTACTAGGTAGTTTTCATCGAATCTTCCTAACCTTTCTATGAAGATAGTATTTTGCAGTTGAGGAAACTGAAGCACAGACAGCTTAAATAACTTGAGTGAGGTCACACAGCTAGTAAATTATAGATCTCAAGTTTGAACTCAGGCAGTCTCATTCCGGAGTCCTGGGCTATGTTACCTTGCCTCCCTAAATACCATGCTCTCATCATTCAGTGCCTCCCCAAAGGCTTTGTAAGTTGCCTACCTTCCTAACTGCAGGATTCAGCTCTTACTCAAACCTCTTCTAGGATGTCATCCTAGAACCCCACTGTTCCTCCTTAGCATTACCAGGTTATGCCTGTGCTTAAAATCCTCCAGTTATCTTCTCACTGCACTTAAATAAAAGCAAAGCTTCCCGTGCCCTACAAGACCTCACAAGTCTGGCCGCTGCCTTGCCTCTGACCTGTGCTTGTACTGCGCAGCCCTGCCTCCAGCCTTCAGGCCCACACTGCCAGGGCTCTCTGTGCCCAGTGAGAGGTTTTTCAGTTCCTGCTTCAGGGCCTTTGCCTGAATCATTCTCTCCCCATCTCGAGCAGACCCCTTGCGGTCACTGCCCACTCCCATTTCTCTCACATTACCCTGTTGTATTGTGCTTGTTGCAACCAAAAATACCCACTTGCTTACTTGTTGCTTGTCTCTCCCCAGTAGGAGATAAATATATGTGTATGTAGTTCATATTCCCAGAGAGTTACATCCTCAGCCTATAATAGCCGCCAAGCCACTCAGGCCCCGGATAAACTCTTGTTGAGTAAATGAAGGTATGAAGAATGCCTATCACATGGTATTGCAATTTTATACCCCGACGCTCCCCCCACCATAGGATGCAAACTGGAGAGAGGGAACTGTTGTTTTTGTAATGGATGCCAGTGCCAAGCGCTCAGTAATTGCTGTATAAATATTCTTTTTTAAAAAACAAATTTATTTTTGGCCGCATTGGGTCTTCATTGCTGCGCACGGGCTTTCTCTTTGCGGCAAGTGGGGGCTACTCTTTGTTGCGGTGCTCGGGCTTCTCATTGCGGTGACTTCTTGTTGCGGAGCACGGGCTCTAGGCTTGTGGGCTTCAGTAGTTGCAGCACGCAAGCTCGGTAGTTGTGGTGCACAGGCTTAGTTGCTCCACAGCATGTGGGATCTTCCTGGACCAGGGCTCGAACCCGTGTCCCCTAGCCCTGGCAGGCGGATTCTTAACCACTGCGCCACCAGGGAAGCCCTGTATAAATATTCTGACTTCCAGCATGAGTTATTTATGGCATACAAAAAAATTCTTTTCAGGTCCTGCATCTTCAATATGGAATGTATGTTTGGCCCTGTGCTGTGGTCCTGGCCCAGTACCTGTGGTTTCACAGAGGATCTCTGCCAGGAAAGGCTGTCTTAGAGGTACAAGTGCCCTTGAGGTTTGCGAAAATCCTAGATTATTTTCCAATTTAAGTCTATATGCTGGTTATTGGGTTTTGTTAGGTATTTTTTCAGTTAGGGATGATCTGGCCAGCTTGTGAGGCAGGTGAGCTAAGAAATGTTTTTAAAAGTGTTTAAAAAAAAAGTATGCACCAGAGACCATATGTGGTCCACAAACACTAATATTTACTGTCTAGCCTTTTAGTCTTAAAATGTATCCCATGCTTTCTCACCACTCCATCTGGCTCAACTGCTGAAGGCTTACAGCAGAAATACTATGCTTAAATCCAAAGACTAAATACAGAAGCTTAAGAACATCTCTTAACTTTTGCAAAACCATGTAACTGAAATGAAGGCATTTGGTGCTTACTTCTGGCCCAAAGTAGTGATGATTGTCAGCAATTCGGTAAAGGTCAGGAATCTCTATGCCCATCCTCAAACAGGAAGTGTGTGTTTCAACTGATGCAAATAGTAATATTTATGAAGGCACTCCTTGGTATTATTCCTTAGTATGTTTAAGCTCCTTACTGCTCTCAAGACCCAACTGGAAAATCCCGTTAAATATAAGAAAGTCATGTTGCAGACCTGTCAGGTTTTAGTCACATGAAGGCTATTTATAATTGGTACTAACAACTGAATGGCTGGTTGTGTATCCACATCACCCACTGAGCTTTTAGAGAGCTGGTGTCCTTTATAATTAGCTTCTTATAGATCACAGACCCTCACAGTTCAAACCCCTGTTTAAGGGTTGTCAGAATTGAGGGCCCTTTAAAATGTTGAAATGGGCTGTAACTCCTTTGACCCAATTAGAACTGCCATGACAAATCTGGAGGAAGCGCCACATAGTAAAGCAGTGTTAAATTATGGCATATTTTATAGATATGGCAAACTATCTTTACACATTGACCAATGCAAGCAAGAAATGAGAAACCATTTGCCAAGGTCATTAATTCTTTGCAGTTCTAAGCAAAACCTTTAACCTTGTCATTAGATTGGAGCTGGAGTGAGCCTTCCAGGAATTATGGCTGCAAAATGCGGTGCTGAAGTAACACTGTCAGACAGTTCAGAGCTGCCTCACTGTCTAGAGATCTGTCGGCAAAGCTGCCAAATGAATAACCTGCCTCAGGTGCATGTTGTGGGACTCACATGGGGTCATGTATCTCGGGATCTTCTGGCTCTACCACCGCAAGACATTATTCTTGCATCCGATGTGTTCTTTGAACCAGAAGGTAAACCTTTTTTGCTCTTCTCAGTAGTAAATTTAGTCAGAGATACAATGGAATTAAAGTCTATTAAGAAGTTTTTTCTTCCCAGACTTTGAAGACATTTTAACTACAGTTTACTTTTTGATGCAGAAGAACCCCAAGGTCCAATTGTGGTCTACTTACCAGGTAAGAAGGTAAGCCTGAACAATCCTGCTTTACTCCCAATTTTATTAGAAGTTAACCCAAGCCTTACTACTCTACTCATTCAGTGTGTAGTTTAAGGATATAATGACAATATATCTAAAGCAAAACAGGAAAAGCTTGGTTTTTTAAAAATAATTTATTTTTTTCAGTGCTGACTGGTCACTTGAAGCTTTGCTCTACAAGTGGGACATGAAATGTGTCCACATTCCTCTGGAGTCTTTTGGTGCAGACAAAGAAGATATAGCAGAATCTGCCCTTCCAGGAAGACATACTGTTGAAATGCTGGTCATTTCCTTTGCAAAGGACAGTCTCTGAATTATACCTAAAAGCTGTTTTGGGACAATGTCAATACTGATTAGCAACCTGGCAAGCCAACTGTGTGACTCAGACCACTTCAGCTTGAGTACAGTGGATCTGAAGATGGTCAGATCGGTTGACTTTAGATTGTGATGGGTCACATAACCATTAAAACAAAAATTAAAACTCCTATAAGAAAGAGAACTTCGATTGTTCCTAAGTCATTAAAATAGGGCATAAATTAGGTTATGAGAAGAGGGTTACTCAAAACCTTAACAAAGTGCTACCTTAGAGCATTGAGGACAGTAGGTACTTAACTGGCATTTCCACTTTATAACTTAGGGGGAAAAAAATCAACTACTAAACATTTCATTTTAATTCTATACAGTCAGTAACATTCACAAGATAATTGCACAGGTCTTTCAAATAAACGGGGGAAAAAAGACCAAGACATATTCTGAGAAAAGCTAACACCAAGAAAACGTTTTAATTAAACTACAGAAACAATGGTTATAGTACAGAATATTCATGAGCAAAAAGATACACCATGTTATAAGTACTTACAAAGTTACAAACCATTTGTTTCCTTAACATTTTCCACATTTTAAGTTCATACATGAAGATGATCGGATTTACCATTTTTTGGGGGGGGGGGGAGAGGAAGAAAAAAAAAGGTGTATTTATCATCGCTAGATGTGCTCACTGTATGCTCCGTTATTTATATGCAAGGCCCGGGTGACTGGAAGTGCAGTTGTCAGGCATTTTAATAAACTGGACAGCCATTTGTTTCTGCACGACAAGGCATCTTTACACAGGAGCAATCAGGAGAAAACAGGAAACAGCCAAGCACTCTGCACTGCAACACGCCACCTTAACAGCTAACCAGCATTACTCAACTGCTACACAACTGCGCCTAGTGCACAAAAATACATAAGAGAAGAGATTAGAATTGTGTTTGGTAAACAATCCTTTTTTTAAAAAAAATCAAGTCTTTTCACCTGAAAAGTCTTTATACAAATTTGGGTTCAGTTTACCATTTAGACCTGAAGGTAAATAACATATACAAACAATTTACACCAACTTTCGTAGGTTTTTAATTTTAAGGTATGAAGGCAATGTTGAGTCAATCTCTTGACAGCTTTAGGCTGTGTGTAATGGCTGCACACGTTTCCTTAAAAGTCAGGAGGCCACAAATTAGGTTACCAATCTGTTTAATTTCAAACAAAAAAAGTCAGCACTATATAAACAAAAAGGAAATTTTACCTCAAATATCCAAGCCAATAATGAAATCTGAAGTCGTTCACCTCACTAAATTACAAGAAATTTGAATAACAGCAACAAAATGGCACATAAAATGAGTTTGCCACCTGAGGCAAAGCTTAAAACAAGTAAAAAGTTAGACAAAATGTTACAAAATAACCTTTTCAATAGCCAGTTGCTTGTTCCAAGGACTCTTCAGTGGACTGAGTACTACTGAGTACGTGGGTCCTTTTCCTCCAAGTCTTCCTTTATGTTGCTTGTCGACACATCTAGGTTTGAAAAAAAATAAGTTCAGTTTACCTTCCATTATTATGAAATCACCAAAGGTGCACATGGTTTTAATTTCAGTACTTACTAAGGGTCTGGTGAAACCAGTAGGTTACAGAAAGGTTCCAACCAGCCACTAATCAGTTTTTTAAAGGCCCAATTAGGAAAATTTCACAAAGGCTACCATCAGCATTAGAAGTTTGTGTTTATGTATTCTTGGCCAAATAACCCAGGTGAAAAATGGTAAGGGGGGAAAAAAGAAAAGAAAAAAAAAGAGGGCTGTATCCAAACAAAAGCAACTCGAGATCAGACAATTAGTCTACATTTTAAGTTTTTAGTGTTCAAATGAAACACATTTGGCATTTCAGAATGCTTTAACATCTGAGCTACTTAGGGCCCTTTCCTTTTAAAAAATAGGACCAAACAATTTGAGAGTTAAAGACACACTATCCTTTCCCCACCCAGTGCAATCAATACCTGTAAACTTTTGGTTCCAAAAGTTCATTGCTTCGTTTTTGCAATTCGTTTGCGCCACATCCATTAGAATATGAAGTCCCAGTCAGCACAACAATAGTTGAACTGATTGTTTTCTCTAAGAGGATAGTGCATCTTTAACATTTAAAGACAAACCTGCTCCAATACACGCCCACAGAAACTGGTCCCTGGAGGATCAGCCAAATCAGTTAAAATCTGCAATACTGGCCAATATTCTTTTATCAAACAGGAGACCGCAGCTTTAAAGGGGAAAATGCAGACGTTGGATAAAAACAGCAAGAAATAGTCATTTTCATTAATAGGTCTCAAAACAGTTTACGAAACAGCCATTATTATCTAAGCTTCATACACATCCTTTCTGCAGACCCCTCTCTTCAGTTTTACTCCCAAAGCTGAGTTAGCTCAGAGCAGCACTCCTAACATGAGGAGTCACTTTTATATTAATCGGATCAAAACAACTACTCCAAACCCCATTTCTGAATTCGGGCCATGAGTCTCGGAGCCCCGCAGACATTACCATTTGCTTAAGAGGACACCGCTCCTTCCTCTTCAGGAGACTTGGGAGGACTCTTGGATCGCGACCTGGACTTGGATTCCCTCTTGGACACGGGCGGAGGACTCCTGGACCTAGACCTGGACCTGGACCGCGAGCGAGATCTGGAGACAGACGAGGACTTCGACTTGGACCTTCGCGCCGATCTGGACTTGGAGGTTGATCGCGATCTTGACCGAGTACGGGACCGAGACTTGGAGCGGCTGTAGCGAGATCGACTCCGGGACCTGGACCGGCTCCGACTCCGGGATCGGCTGCGGCGACGCCGCCTAGGGCTGCGGACAGGGACGGCGGCGCGTTAGGGTTCCGCGGCCCCGCCCGCCCGCCCGCCCGCCATTATCTCGCCGCCAGACGCCATTTCCCTGGTCGCGAGAAGAGGGCCCCCGCCCTCTCGCGGCTCGCCGGCTCTGCCCGGCCGCCACCACGTGTCCCCGGCAGGCCTTTGTGAGTCACCCAGGCCCTCCCGGAACCCCGGCCGCGACGCCCACCCGCTTACCTGCGGCTCCGACGTCCGTAGCCACCGCCCCCGTACCTGCGGGGCGGGGGTCCCCGGCGGCTATGGTGCGAGTCCGGGGGGCGGCCGTAGCGCGCCATCTGCACCCGCAACTCGCGGCCGTCCAGCACGGCCCCGTCCATGGCGTCCATGGCGTCCTCAGCGTCACGCTTGTCGTGGAAGCGGACGAAGGCAAAGCCGCGGGACTCCTTGGTGTAGCGGTCCCGCGGGATGTACACGTCGCCGACGCGTCCGTACTTCTCGAACACGCGCCTCAGGGTGTCTGGCGAGGTGCGGTAGGTCAGGTTGTCCACCTTGAGGGAGGTCATGCCCTCCACATCGGGAGGCGGGCGGCCGTAACTCATGGCTCTGAAGAGTCGGGCCGGGGCCCGTGACTGCGCGCCGACGGACTAACGCCCCGGCGGGCTCGCGCGCTCGGCTGCGGCGGCGGTCTCGTCAGCCTAGCTCGGCTCGACGCCGCGCCTCTCCCCTGGCGGTTGTTTCCGCGTGGAAACGTTTGGAAAGCCCTGACTAGGACAACTGACAAAGCGCTACGCACCTGGCTCCACCAGAGAAGCAACTGGGCCGGCGGCCGGCTCCAGTGCCCGTTTATATCCCTCCTCACAAAATGGCGCCCGCGCCACCCGGAAATGAAACCTCTGATTGGCTCGTCTCGCCCCGCCCCGTAACGTCCCTGCCGCGCGCCCCGCCCTTGTCCGGCGCGCCTGCGCAGAGCCCCGCGGGCGGGTCGAAAAGCGCGCAGTCACTGCCGATGGGAGGGGGAGCGGGATTTGCCGGCAGTTGGAAAGCCCGCGAAACGCTCCTTCCGGCTGCGAAGCGCGCTGTGACGGCAGGAAAGGGAGGTGCTCCCCTACTGGGCTCCGCCTTCTTTTCATGCCAATTTCTAAGCTCCACGCAGGTTTTCTGCTCGGACTTCCGCCCCGCCTCTGTCGGGGGGCGTACTCCTTCACCTTGCCCGTCTGTGTTTGCGGCCTCCTCAGACCGCGTCTCCAGGCCCCCTTCCGCAGTTCCTGTCTCCTTCGCTGCGTTCCGCTTTTTAGCAACCCCACCCTTGCCGGAGCCCACGAGGTCGGCCCCGCTCCCCCGGAGCGGGTGAGGGAGCCCTAGCGGCGCGCTTGCACGTCCCGGGTCGCCCAGGACTACATTCCCCAGCAGGCCCAGCGGCCGGCGCCGCGGCTGCAGTCAGGTGACCGGGTCGCCTGACCTGCGATGAGTCAGGGCAGGGAGGGCGGGGCCGTGCTGGCCGCTGCCTCTGGCCCTTGGCCCTAATCCCCCTCTCGGGCCCCTTAAGTTGCAGCTACAACGTTCTTGGCGTTTCTCCGGGTGTTGGGCTCTTCCCTACTCGGATCGTGTCCTAGGAATGTCCTAACTGTACCCGTGGGGAGAACTTCACCCTAAGCCCGGGATTCCACTCCAAGACCTGGAAGTTGACACCTTGCCTGCCCCGCTCCTGGATTTGCCGCCTCCTCTCACCATCTCATTTCTTCTCCCAGGATTGCAGTGGGTTCCCCCCGAGGAGAGCTGACTGCCCTCTGCTGCTGCCGACCTTTTGGCAGAGTTAAGCCAAAATGTCCCCGGAATCTAAAAAGCTTTTCAACATCATTATTTTAGGAATTGCCTTTATGTTTATGTTCACCGCCTTTCAAACTTGTGGAAATGTAGCGGTGAGTTGGAATTTGATCTTCTTCCTTTGAAGTGCTTATCATAATGCATTCCAAAAATGATAATCAACGTTATGTCTAATAATGCGCTTAAGTCGCACCTTTTATTTTGTCACCTACGCTTCCTCGTTTTCCATGATTAGGTTTGATTTCATGTGGCAGACGTTTCTTGTTGGGGTCGTTTATTTCTCTTACTTGATTTGGGGTTTGTATGCTGACCCATTTATATTTTTTATTTATATTAAGGACTACATTAGTACTTGGAGAGTTGAGGGACTAAACCTAAGGCCTAGTTTCAGATGGTCTTCACCCTTCCCCACCCCGCCCCCACACGCCCCTCAATGGTTTGCCTTCTGTTCTGTAGTCCGTTCTCTTCTCTCGTGTTAGAATTTCAGTATTAAGTATTCGGCATCTTGAATTTTTACTCTATTCCAAGTATTTGGAGAGC